TGCTAGTCGCCGGGCCCCGCCAATCTCCTCTTTCCCCCCTGGCTCCCCCCGGCTCCTCCACTCCATCCCTCGTGCCGTGCCTCGCCTGTCCCTTCCCCCCAGGCCTCGCCTGCCCCCCCGCCGCTGCCGCCGCCGCTCCGAAGCGAGGTCCAAGCGGCTTGTAGCCGATGGGCCTCGCCGATCCCCGCCCGCCCGCCAGCCAAGCCTTCTGCTGCCCTCCCATCCCCTGTGGTGGTGGCAGCAGCGGCAGCGAGGCAGTTCGCAGAGCGTTCCCTGCGCATGCACAGGGGACGCTCTCTTACTTTTATGGGGATTTAAATATCCCCCGTATTTTTTTTACACTTTTCAGATTTTTGTGCACACCTGGGGATCGCCCCAAATGTGCACGAAAATCTCCCTGCCCTCCAGGTACCCCCGATGTGCGGATTTATATATCCGTACACCAGGGGGCATCTTCGGAATTAGATATATAGATAATTTTGCATAGAATTGCACTGTCATTTGTGCCACAAGACTTTATTGTTGATTTGGTGGCTGCAGAATGAAATCCTAAGCACACTTTCAAGGGGATAAATACCAGTTAGTTGAATGGGATTTACAGCTGAGTATACGTGTTTAGGATTTCACTGTAACATGGCTACCATCTCAGAATTTTTCTTTAAACAGCAACACATTTCTATTCCAGCTGGAAATTCCTGTGGGTTAGAACCCTAATCCTGTTTGCAAAGCAAAGGGGTTGGAACTTGGTCTTTCCCAACAGAACTACTGCTGAGGTAATGCCATCACAGAATGGTGATTTAGACCACGGACACCCTCACACTAGCTACATGAGCTCTTTTGAAATACCTTACACATTTAATGGCTTGCTTTCTTCTACTGTTTTATATAACAATTACATACTGTGCGATTTTGCAATTGCAGCCTAGGCTTATGATAAAAAAAACTTTATACCAGTGGAGGGGTCACGCTCATGCCTAATTCCCTCTCAGCACATTCAGCCAACAGCTGACTGTAGGGTTGCTAACTCCCTGGACACCCACCACCACCACAAAAAGCATCTGTCCTTCAACAGATGCTTTATGGGACATTGTTTGCCCAGTGCTGTAATTTGCTTCCTTGCCACAAAAAGCTTCAGATGCTCGTTTCCACCCATCAAGCCTCTGGTAAAGAAACAGGACACCCCCCCACCACCACCACCCAAAAAAAAAAAGTTGCCAGCAACCCTAGCTGCAGCACCAGGGCCTAAGAATCCAGAATTTTAAGTAGTCCATCCATGAAAATAGTGGCTTGAAATAGTGGCTTGAAAGGGGAATTCCGGAAAACAAGGAGCTATGCAGCAGCAGCACCCTATGGCCATAACGGGGAAAGACATGGGCTGATTTCTCACGAGGCTTTGGCCCGCGGTCAGCCCTTTGTTCTCTCCGGTGCATCTTGTCAGTTTCACACGATTTGATCCGGAGCCTGGTTTTGCCCCGGAATTCAAGTATCTTTGAGCCTATTTATTTAGCTTTATAGCCTGCCTTTCTCACTAAGACTAAAGGGAGATTACATAGAAAAAAAGAGGAGAGCAGTGTAATCATACAGCATAAGACATCCAGTGAACAACAGAATAGGGCTAGGAACTAGGCTTGCCAAGTCCCCCCGGGGGGCGGGGAAACCCCCGCCCCAGAGGCCCGCTCCCCGCCGCCAGCGGATCGGGCCCTGGGGGAACCCCACCCCAACGTGCGTGTCACCCCAAAGTGACGTGACAACGCTGGGCATGCTGGGGGCAGGGCCACGGTCATCCGAGGGAAAACTCTATGGTCTTCCCTCGGATGGTCATGGCCCCGCCCCCAGTGTGCCCGGCGTCTTCACGTCACTTCCGGATGACGTGCGCGCGCACTCCAGCCGCCAGCCGGGAGTCCCCCGCTGTGGCTCAAAAAGCACTTGGCAACCCTACTAGGAATACACATTCAAAGGCCATGTGAGTAACAATGAGAACAGCGAACTGCCTGAAGTTGAGGTATTGTGTGAACAATGCAGAATGTGGGCTTACAAGGTATGAGACAATGCAGTGAAAGCTAGATGATACCAATGATAGTAACTGCAGTGGGCTGTAGACCTAGTCCTACACGAAGGCACCATTCTGGACTGTTTCATCATGCCACAGGTTTGATTCCATTATAAGAATGCCCTCCTAAACATTTCTGTTTTGCACATTTTGCGGTATAGAACTTGTGGAGAAATGCATTTTCCCCTGGTGGGAGGTTGGCAATGAGCAGGGCTTCCCAGCAGTGCGGGAAAAGGCAACAGGCATGGCGTATGCCTCTCATCATCTCCCAGACCTGCACAGCCACCAGTCAAATCCAAAGTGAACCTCTGAGATGCTGGCAGTGCCATTGGCTTACTGCTAGCGCAGCTGTGATCCTGAATGCATTTCCTTGGGAGTAAGCCCCCTTGACTAACATGGTACTTACTTCTGACTAGACCTTCTTAGGACAATCTTACTTCTAATTAGACCTTCTTAGGAAGGACCATCTAATTAGATCTTCTCCCAAGGACAATTCTCATCTCCCACCATAATGTTTTTGTTTGTACATAAGGCTGCCAACTGCCTGCAGAAAAAATACATCCTGCTCCTTTAATAGAAGCTGAATGAGATGTTATTTACCTCCATGTTATAAAGAGCTTAGACTGGTTCCTGCTGGTCACCAACAGGGGATGGGGGGTGGGGTTGCCTGGGTGGGGTGGGGTTGCCATATCCAGATTGGAAAGTCCTGGTGATTTGGGGATGGAGCCTGGGGAGGACAGGGACCTCAGTGGGGTACAATGCTGTAGAGCAGAGGTGCAAACTCATTTGTTATGAAGGTCAGATCTGATATAAGTGTTGCTTTGTCAGGCTGGGCCATGTTGGCCATAAAATCTAATGCCAGGTACCGGAGAGATAAACTGTATAAATGACTCAGGCAAACCCAATTAACAATATTATTTTTTTTTACTCAAAATACAAACAAAAGCAATTGATTTACTGCGGAATCCATAAAAGCCCCAATAAATGTATTTAATCATATGCAAGACTAGGTTTTCCCCAAGGGATACCATACCCACCCCTTAGCCATTTCCTTTAATTTCTTGACAGCTTGGACCACACACACCTCACTGTGTAGGCCCACATGCCTGCTCCCCTCCCAAGGAGCCTCTTACCTTCCCTCCCCTACACCCAGTTGCTTGCAGGCCAGGTAAGTGTCCTGGGCAGATCGGTTCCGGCCCTCGGGCCATATGTTTGACACCCCTGCATGTAAAGCCCATCCTGCAAAGCATCCATTTTCTCCAGGGGAACTGATCTCTGTGGTCTGGAGCTGAGCTGTAATTCCAGGGGATCCCCAAGTCCCACCTGGAGGCCGGCATCCCTACATTAAGCCTCTGTCAAAAGGGGAAGATATATTTCTGCAGGCCAGTTTAGAACCCTACATGCACTCCAAAATCTTCACACACGGACATTGCATTTTTTGGCACTTGGATCAAAAGGTCTGCCTACCCCAGTCTATAAGGAGCTACTAGACCCCTGTTTTATTTTGAGCCTTCGAACCCAGGCACAGGACCTCATGGAGACAGCTCTCTCCCTGTGCTCTTCCCAGCATCTGCTGGTCAATGTATCTTTTTGCCTTGAATCCGGTTAAATTCCTAGCAATGCCACCTACTAGCCTCTGACAAACCTACCCTCCATGAACACACGTAGTCCCTTTTAGAGGCCACTTGGGCCAGTGCCTGTCTCAGCATCCTGTGGCAAGCAATTATGTAAGCGTAGCTGAGATTATGTCTTTCAGTAACCTGCACCAAGTTTCTGTTTTTGAGATATCAGTTGCAAGAACTATTGGGGAGGGACATTCTCTGAAGGATGTGTGAGTAAAGCTGTCATCTCTGAGGTTGGAAAATAGATAGTACGAAGTGGTGAAAGAGGAAGGAGGTGGGAGTTTGAATGGTGAAGTAAGTGACCAAAAGAATGGTTTGAAAATGCTTGCATTGTTTTGCAGTCATACTGCTGATAAAGGGACGAGTGGCAAAGGGAAGGATCTGGGAAATGGGTGAAAATGGTGAAGCAAACCGGGGCCTTCACCAGGTTTCAAATATTTCTTCAGGTTGATGACTTCTAGGGTTGGCGTGACACATGTTAGAACAGACAATATCTTTTCCTGTTACTAGGCCATGACTGTCAGCCACCCCTCACAGATCATTATCTGAGCTTCTCTCAGCCTCTTCTTCAGGTGAAAATTTGTGGTTTGATGACAAGAGAGCATCTGCTCTGAATGCAGAGGACCCCTGTTCAGTCCCTGGCATCTCCAGCTAATGGAAGTCAGTCAGAAGTTATTTTGGCAAAGTCATATCCTTCCCTGAAAACGTACGCATTGCCTTTCCTGTTCTTCAGTGCCATTTTTCGGAAACAGAAAGTTCACAAAATTTAAGCACAGAGAGTGTGGCAGACGTGCTGAGAGGTGGCCAAGTGCACAGAGGCCCTGTTTCCTGTGCGGTTCTCCCCTTTGCCTCTGACAAGTGGTCAGCCTTGCTTCTCACACAGAGCTGGGTTCGATTAGCAGAAAAGGGCTCTGCCTCTCTCAGTCTCCTTCCCATTAAAGGGGAGTTTGAATTTGTGCAGGAATCAGCCTCAAGTGTCTCTTTCCACATGGAAAATGAGGAAGGCTATATGGCGCTTAGCTTCAAGTCAAGGAAAGAATATGGAAAACACAACCTTCCATCTCAGATCCAAGGTATGGAAGAGTGGTGGGTTTTTTTGTATCATAGAAGACTATTTCCGTTTAGGTACTATGGCAGTTTGGGGGGTCTTGTGTCCACAATAGAGGTGATGCAGTGGATCTATGTTACTGCCTGGGCAGTCTGTCTTTGCGGTTGCCATGTCCACCAGCGGAGGAACAACTTTCCTAATTGTTGCCATTAGGTCATTATGTGTAATGAATGAAAGAATTGTTTGTGTGGATGCATTGGTTATCTCTAGAGTAGCTGATGGTTGGAGGATTGTCCTTTAGACGTGGAGTTTTGATTAGGTGATCTAGTTCCTTCAGCTTCAATTCAAGTATAAAAGCAGTCGCTGATTCATAGGGTACCTGATTTCATGGTCAACATAACCGTGCATTAGAGGCTAAATCTCTTTTACCAAACACTGACTCTTGTAGACCCTCTGCCAAGATATTCCGCTGCCATCAGCTCAGCGTGGGGGTTGGATGCACCATGATTGTCCTGTTAATAGGAGCTGTGGTGGTTCTGGCTACTTGGGGTGAGTAACTCTAAACCGCGCATTGAACAGTTTGCACTTGTGTAGCAGTAGCTTGAAAATGCTAAGTTTTTTTAAAGCAGATCAGCACACTAGTACTCATGTTGATTGTATAGAATTATAAATCATATACCCTTGACTGAAGAATGGTACACACCTTCCATCTGGGATGGTCATCCTCTTCCATTGAGTGCACAGCTTCAGAAGGGTAACACATGGAGCAGTGAGGGAGGAAGGGGATGCACACTCTCATTTCTTCAAATTTCTGATCATCTAAAATACATTCTAATTTGAAGTTTTCCAGATGAGACACCCCATAGGTATTCTGGAAAAAGCTGGCATCTCCCAGAAGCCCAAAAATGGAACAACAATGGAAAATAAGTCCAGCCTAGAGAACTTTGTGTCTCACTTGCGGAAGTTTTTGTGCAAGCCACTGGACAACAAAGAAACAGGTAACATCAGGGTTTGTCTCGCAATCATAAGTTTTAAGGACGTGTGCTACAGCATTTCCTCTATACATGAATTATGTCTCTTGTGAAAATTGTGAGGCTTTGAATTAAATTTCAGCTTGTACCTAGAATCTCGTGTTTGTAGAAAACATCTTAAAGGGTGATCACAAACATAAAATAACACGACCCTAAATGTATTTAATCTTATGTACTTATCTTACTATTAAAAAACTATTTTTTCAGTCTCCTGAAGACGTCATATGTTACAAAAATACATCACAACATAAAACGTAACAAAAATTACCTTCTGCACTTGGATACAAAGTGTTAGTTAGGGTTGTCGACCTCCAGGTGGTGGCTGGAGATATCCTGGAATTATAATTGATTTCCAAGCAAGAGAGATCAGGTCCTTTGAAGAAAATGACAGCTTTGGAAGGTGGACTCTGTGGCATTATATCCTCCCCAAATCCCACCCTCCTCAAGCTCCCTCCCCAAAATCTCCAGGTATTTCCCAACCTGGAGCTAGCAATCCTAGTACGGGTCAAATCCATAAAGTCCTGTGCCACATCGGGGGGAAATTCAAGCATGGGGAAAGCTGGTGATATCTCTGGCAATGTTTTATAAAAGTATGTCTGCTATCTATACACAACTCCCCCCACACAAACATGTGTTTCTGGAGACTAGAAAGCTACATTTAAAAACAAAACAAAACTGAGATTCTCAGGATTCTCAGAAGAAGCCCCTTGGCTGAAAAGGCGCTCTGTGTCTACGGGTATTTCAATTCTTGCATTTCTGTTGTCCATTGAATCTTCCACTCCAGGAAAATGAATTTTCTGGAAAATATATGTCCACAAAATAGACAAAAAGGAGCATGGGTTCCATGGATGAGGAGGCTCGAGTCTAGTGATCAGCTCAACTTTATTCAAGATTTTGGCGAAAAGCAAGACAAGACCCCAAAGCTGCAGTTTTGTTAAATAGCATGCAATTGCCACACCCAAACACACCCCACTCCCTGTGATAGGCTAGGCTATTTACATAACATTACTACTTGATTGGTTACTTCCAGAGTCCTGGTAGGCTATTGTTCTTGCGCTCCAAGCTCAGCCAGTCTCTGGTGTGACATACCTGGAATGGTTCAGTCCCAATACATAACAGACCAGATTGTTAAAACCAACATTCACTTATTCCCAACCCAGTTACAGTAGCCCATCAATATTCAATAACCATTCTTGTGAGAAACTTACAGAATAGTTTATTCATTTATTTAGAATACTTCTGTGCCACCTCTTCAGAGTTCTGCTTGAGGCAGCTTACAATTAAAAACCATGGTATAAAACACAAGCCATTAAAAAAGTAAGCCATTAAAAATACATGGAGCATTAAAATTATTCATAAATAAGAGCAGACCATTAAAAAGCCGATAAGAAACCCCTAGTTTTCTCAGAGTGTTCAAGCGACCTTTCATAAACCTCTGCTCTCTCCATGTCTAAACAGCAGTTATGCATAATAAGCCCTTGATCTCTTATGTTGGTTTATTGATAATAGCAGGATTATTGATCAATAAATGCAGCTATTGGTGCTGGGGGGGGGGAATCATTGTTAGAGATGAATCCAGACTGTATCTTTCTCTGGGTTTTGTTTATCGTTCCAGAGAATTCCAGTTGTCGACTGTGTCCTCAGAACTGGTCCCTTCATGAGAACAAGTGCTACTGGGTCTCCAAAGAAAGACGAACTTGGCACAAGGGGAAGGAAGACTGCACAGCCAAACTCTCTCGTATGTTGGTGATACAGAGTCAGGAAGAAGTGGTATGTATAAGTGAACATTTGCCAAAGAGAAACACTTGGAGCAGGGGAGATGACCTCTCTCAATTGTGGTTCCATTATAATTGCTCATTCTACAATATACATAGCATCAGGGCTTTTTGTGAAGAAAAAGCCCAGCAGGAACTCATTAGCATAATAGGCCACACCCAACAGCAGAAACTAATTAGCATATTAGGCCACACCCCTGATAGCACAGTTCATTGGCATATTAGGCCACACCCCCATATTACCAGAAGTGTGGTCATCCAGCCACACCCACCTTTTGCTTCTTATTCTGTTTACTTTGTTTGTTGTCAAAACCCAGGGCCTTTTTTTGTAGCGGGAACTCCTTTGCATGTTAGGCCACACACCCCTAATGTAGCCAATCCTAATGAGTTTGTACTGTTGGGTGTGGCCTGTTATGCTAATGAGCTCCTGCTGGGCGTGGCCAACTCAGGAGCCAGCTGGAACTCCGTTCCTGTGCGTTCCTGCCCAAAAATAGCCCTGCATAGCATATATCAACATTCATTGTTGTTGTTTTGCCGTCAAGTTGCAGCTGACTTATGACAACCCCCTCAAGGGTTTTCAAGGCAAGTGACATTCAGAGGTGTTTTTGTCATTGCCTGCCTTTGTTAAGCAACCCTGGACTTCCTTGGTGGTCTCCCATCCAAATACTAAGCAGGGCCGACCCTGCTTAGCAGCTGAGATCTGAAGAGAGCGGGCTAGCCTGGGCTATCCAAGTCAGGGCGTGCATCAACAGCCTGACTTAAAACAGTGATTGAAATACCTGTAACCTCTATATTTTTCATGTCCTACGAAGGCAGTAAAACCAAAAAGTTTATCAGATTCTTGGTGGGCTGCCAAGCATGGCTGGTGGACTGCATTTAGGTTATCGGCAGGGCCTGGGGGGGGGGCAGCAGGGCCATTTGGCTCGGGCCTCACATTCTCAGGGGGGCCTCAGATTTACACTTTTGATGTTAAACTGCATGTTAAATAAAAATGGGAACATTTATTACAAAGTCTTACAATATTTGTTTTCTTATCGTATTAAATGTAAACATTTAAAATATAACACTACTAACGTTGTATCATTGTTTTTGCAGTTCTTCATTTTTTAATTTACTGTAGGGGCCTCCTCAGAAATGGAAGTGGCCCAGGCCTCTCTTGAACTCTGTGAGGGCCTGGTTATCAGTTTACAGTAATTGCACATAAATTTTGTTTCACCGGAACCTTAGTTCTGTGCAATGGTTGCAGTTTGGAAGTTACATCTGCAAGTCTTGTCAGTGGTTTGAGTTTGGGTCTGTTGAGTTTAGGATTGATGTCAGGAGTTACTATAGGGCTGCCAACCCCCCCGGTAGGGCAGAATTCCCCCCGCCCCGGAGGCCCGTTACCCGACGCCGGGGAATCGGGGCCCGGGGGGAACTCCGCCCCGGTGTGCGCGTCACCCGGAAGTGATGTCGCACGCTGGGGGCGGGGCTACGCCATTTGAGGGGGAAACAAAGAGTTTTCCCCTCAAATGGCAGCCATTTGAGGGGAAAACTCTTTGTTTTCCCCTCAAATGGCGTGGCCCCGCCCAGCGTGTGACGTCACTTTCGGTGATGCTCTGGCGGCGCGCGCGCGCTTCGCACATGCGCGCACGCGCCCACGGACGACTCCCGGACCGGCAGGACGCTCCCCCGCCGGTAAGTTTTTTAAATTTCGCAACCCTAAGTCACTATCAGGAGTCAGGACTTAATGAGGCAGAAGACTGCCATGTAGGCCGTGTAGAATCCATGCTATCTTTATCTGTAATAGAAAGGAAAGCTAAAAATGTGCAGTACAGCATTGACAGACCAATTGTGTTCCTTACAGACTTTCATACAAAACATCACTGAAGGGGCACAGCTGCTCTGGATTGGACTAGAAGCCACCTTCCCTGAAAGGAACTGGACCTGGATAGATGGCTCCCCCTTAGATGACAAACTGTGAGTCTCTTGTCCTGCTATTCAGAGCCCTGTAGCTCAGTGGGTAACCCACAGCCAGGTTGGCCACGATTCATTGATAGGCCTACTGAAATTTTTCACCTTTTGTCTACTGCTTGTAATGGCTGATAGGTAAAGGTAAAGGTTCCCTTGCTCGAAAGCCAGTCGAATCCGACTCTAGGGTTGCGGTGCTCATCTCCGTTTCAAAGCCAAAGAGCCAGCTGATACCAGAGTCCAAATTCAGCTAGCCAGTCAACTGTGTTTCCATATAATATCAAGCCATACACACACATACACAGATCATGTTGCAACATGACATGACCAATAGGACTGGGGCAGCATGAGCCACCGGAAACAGGAGCAGCAGAGAGCAAATGGTATCCCATGAGGGTTTCAGGTCAGAGGCTGGTTTTGTTCATATTACAGTGTAATAATGTTGGTTTCATGATTGGACTATACACTGGAAATGTTCTAATTCAAATTTAGGGCCTTTTCGGCCCTGGCTCCGGCCTGGTGGAACACTCTTCCAGGAGAGATCAGGACCCGAGGGGGTCTGAGGCAATTCCACAGGGCCTGTAAAACAGAGTTGTTCTGCCGGACCTATGGTTGAAAGCAGTGCTGGACCTCCAGCCAATAGGCTACAGCTAGTTCTGGCCTCCCCCCTTTCCTCTTCCTTTCTCCCCCCTGCTTCTTCCCCCTTCTTTCCCATTCTATAAATGTTAGTCTATTGCCCCTCTGAGGGAGTTTTTACGCCATCTCAAATTTTATAGTAATTGTTTATTGATTTTTCTATTGATTATTGTATTTTAGATGGTTTTTAAATTGCATATTTATTAATTGTTGTCTCCTGCTCTGAGCTGCCTTGGGGAGAGCAGGTTATTAAATAAATAAATAAAGCTCAGGGCAAGGAAGAAACAGAGGTGGTTTGCCATATTGCCTTCCTCTGCAATCTTCCTTGGTGGTTTCCTTTGCAAGTACCAACCCTGCTTGCTTCCAAGTAGGGTTGCCAGGTCCCTACCCTTTTCTGGCGGGGGGGAGAAGCTGCTGTTTCGGGATCTTCACAAGCGCACTCCGTGATGACGTAACTCGGAGGTGATGTCATCGTGCTAGGCATGTCACCGGGGGGGGGGGGTACTCTAGTACCATAGAATTTTCAGACTGAATGCTAGAACGTCCCCCCAGTGATGTGCCCGGCGCGATGACATCACCTCTGGGTGACGTCATCGCACTGGGCACATCAGCTGGATCCAGGTACTTTGGGGACGAGGATCCCACCGCTGGCCGGATCTGGGCTGGCAAATCAGGGGCCCCTAAAGCGGGCAAACCCCTGCTCCCCCAGGGGATCCGGAAGTCCTACTTCTAAGATCTCACGAGATCGTGCTATACCATGACCTCTTACTTCCTCACAAAAGATTAAAGATCCCAATATAGGAAAATCCAGTAGTAATTTATAATTCCCAATCCCTTCAAATCCTGTGCTAGCCCTTATTCCTCTGTCCCAAACAGATACTCACTGCTCACCAAGGGCTTTTCTGCATTCCCATTTTCCTTGCTTGTGTGCTCCTGTTGCTTTAGGTTTTTTTCCTGTTCTGTGTCTGTTTTGCTCCCTCTAGTGGTCAGTCTGATATTAAATCACTGCTGTCTGGTATCAAAACCTGCATTTTAAACCTTCAAGGAGATATGCAGAACAAACCAGCAGCAACAACACATAAGCAAGGAAAATGAGATTATGGGAAAACCGCAAATCCATCCATCCATCCATCCATCCATCCATCCATCCATCCATCCATCCATTCATTCAAAGGTAATGCTTGTCCAGCCCCAAAAGCAAAGTTTCACTTTGCTCTTTCAGAGCTCATGTAAGATAGAATGTTGTTGTTTTTATGATGTTGTTGCTTTTATTCATTTCCAGGACTTCTTTTGAAGACAGAGACATATATCTGTCTGGTACTTGATCTACAAAAATTGAATTGTTTCCTGAACATGCATAGCATCTTTAAGACAAACATTCCATTATAATATTTTTTTGCACTCGTGTGCATGCACAAACACAGACACCAGGGGCACAGGAGTTGAAATTGAAGAATAGACTTATGTTCTGAACATACATACCAAATTTTATTCTGATATCTTAGTCTTCAAGGCATTACATTGTATCACCGGTGAACTGCCAACTTGGTTTCTCCCTTTTGACAAATGCTTCCTCCTTCATTCTTCAGATTTCAAGACCTGGGTCCAGTTGAAGCAAATTGCTGTGGGAGACTGAATGGCAATCAAATCATTTCTGAAGTTTGCAATACAATAGCCATATGGATTTGTGAGACAAATGCTCTCCTAATATAATAGCTGGAGTAATCACAGCCCAGTGAGCTGCCAATCTTGGACAGATTAGGTATTCTGCTCTGCATGTGTCTATGAACACCTTTAGAAATTTCTGCCCCCAGTCTTGTACTCCTCATCCTTCTTGCTTGCCTCATTTTTCATGATGGAGTTAGCTGATCTTCAGGGATGTCACCGCCTCATTTGCTGGCACAACTTAACTCCCAGTCTGATGGCAGTGTACCTCTGAATGTCACTGCAGGGCTGGGCCATCTAGGGATAAGGGCCAACCACCTATTATATGGCAACACATGTCGTAAAATCCAACAGGTAAAGTAGCACCATTTTGATGTAATTTGTAGTGGAGAAATTGCAGAGGGAAAAGGGTGCCTTACTCTCAATCCATTGGGTTTCAGGCTCTTGTGAAAGATATTTTAGTGTGAAAGAGGATGCAGTGCACAAGTTAAAAATCCTCTCCCTGCTGTTTCTCTTTTCCAAAGTAACATGCTTCAGTCTTTCCTTATAGGGAAAGGGCTCCACACTCTTTGTATTGTTCTTTTGTAACACTTTTTATTTTGGAAATACAATCTGTATTTATGACAATTTTTATTTCGTATTTGAAATAAACATATTTAACCCCAAGTATTATTTCCTAAATCCATTGTTAGCTTTTAGACTGGATGGCTGAATGGGATCTCCGTGTTCAGGTTTTTTATCTCCATGTTTTTTCTTTTAATAAAGGGCTGCCTTTGAAGATAGTACAAGTTTTAGTCAGTGTCAAGTGTGGCAGCCAGATTGCTGACTGGTTTCTCCTATAAGAAGCATATTTCCAAAGTGCAGGAACGACTGCACTGGCTGCCAATTTGCTTTAGGATCAACTCAAAGAGCTGGCTATTTCCCTTAAAATCATAAACCGCTTCCATCTGCTCAGGTATATACACACTCACCAGGTGAAATCTTCAACAGAGGGTCTTCTCAGTGATAGGGCCCAGATGTGAAACGTCCCTCCCATAAGTAATGTTCATGGCACTCAGCCTGTTGGGCATTCAGTGCCCAGTGAAGATGCCTTAATTCACTCTGTAGTGAGCCACAGACTTTAAGTTCTTTACCAACTACCCACTGCAGGGCAATTTTTGGGCAGGGATGCACAGGAACGGAGTTCCGGTTGGCTCCTGAGTTGGCCACGCCCAGCAGGAACTCATTAGCATAATAGGCCACACCCAACATCAAAAACTCATTAGGATTGGCTACGTTAGGAGTGTGTGGCCTAACATGCAAAGGTTTTCCTGCTACAAGAAAAGCCCTCGGTTTTGACAACAAACGGTAAACAGAATAAGAAACAAAAGGTGGGTGTGGCTGGATGACTACACTTCTGGTAACATGGGGGTGCGGCCTAATATGCTAATGAGCTTTGTTGTCAGGGGTGTGGCCTAATATGCTTATGAGTTTCTGCTGTTGGGCTTGGTCTATTATGCTAATGAGTTCCTGCTGGACTTTTTCTACAAAAAGAGCCCTGACTCTGTATATGGAGATTATGAAATCTTGTTCCATTTACTTTCCTGTAAAGGGATTTTAATTTTGTTGCTTCTTATCTTGTTGATCGTAGTTTATGTTGCTGCTTTCTTCTTTGTATAGCATTATTGTTATTTTGTGGGTTTTGTAATCTGGATTTGCTTACATTTGTAAACCACCCCCACCCCCGGTATCTTTTGGTTAAGGATCGGGTATAAATATTTTAGATAAATACATTTATTTTACAGTACGTTCCCCCACTTTTCTCCACAAAGTGTGGACTCAAAGCAACTGACAATATGAGAAAACAACACCACAAGAACAACATCATCACATATAACACATCTACCTGTGGTAGACAAATGAATCCAGAGGGGAAGGGAGCAGAGCAAATGGTAGCCGCTATTCCATCCATGGTGTCTCCCCAACTTGCTTTCTCTTTCCTCTAGGAGTCTCATCAGGAATCCAGATAGAACACCATATTTTGTTCATTGCCAAGAAGTAGGTTTGTTTTCTGGTTTATGTACAAAGCACACTATGTCATAGAGATGAAGCAGGGCCACAGTCTGACTTTTGTGGGCCCTAGGGACTTTTGCCTTTGTGGGCCTCACCCCCCTTTCTCCATAAAAGCATTCAGAATTATATTTTATGACTGCATTGGTATAAAGACAAATACAATCCATGCTGGATTATATTCGTCTTTTAATAACGCAGTTGAAGTATGTATTAGGATTGCCAGACCCCAAGTGGAGGGTGAAGGTCCCCAACCATGAGGCACAGCTAAATCCCGCTGCCCTGCTTCCAATCAGCTGGCCAGCAGGGGGAGACTTACCCTGAAAATGACCCAGACTTGGCCAATGTCACAATGATGTGTCTACCACAGAGTGTTTGCCTAAATACCAGAGCAAGAAGTAAACTGCGCTGAGGCTAAGTGGCCCTCCTGTCCACCATCAGTTGGCGCCTATGGCTGAGGCCATATTGGTCATACAGTTTACAGTCACTAATTTTCTCACTATAGTACAAAATAATTGTGCATACATCAAAGTGTTCTCCATTTTGATTACTTAAAAGGTATGTGACTGAATTGCTGGCTACACAAATGGAAAAAAAATCTAGTTACAAGTTTTTCCAATGTATATATCGCATTAAGAATTCACTTATCAATTTTTGGCACAAATGTAGAAGGAGAACGGTCACTTTCCAAATTAAACTACCTACATTCCACTATGTCACAAAATTAACTCATTTATCTCTACTCTCTGTTGAAAGTGAGTTATTAAGAAGCCTATTGATGAAATAATCCAGGAATTTGCCAATAAAAATGCTGTAAAGTTAAAATTTAGATAATAAACTTGCATTCATACATCAAAATGGTGTTGTTTGAATGCAAATTGTATTTATTTTCTCTCATAAGTTAAGAAGTTAATATAAGTTAATAGGCTCCTGTGAGAATTGTTACATTATCTCAGTGGCAATTAATATGTGACTGCAGGGGTCATTTCGTAGAAAAAGAGCTAGGGGGACTCATTAGCATAACTCATTAGCATATGCCACACCCCCTGACATCACTGGAAGTGTGTCCTCCCCACAGCCGGCGGCGACCCCCAGCGGGCACCAGCAGGGAGCTCCAGGCCCCGCCCTCCCGCACCTCACCCGGGGGGATGGCGTCCCCCCGCGTCCCCTCCCAAATGACCCCTGTGTGACTGACTGTATTAGTATTCCGTGTATGTAGTCATACTTTCAATGCCTAAAGGTGTGAAAATAAATTATTACTATTACATTTAAAAAAATTTTGTGGGCCCTAAAAGTTTTGTAGGCACAAGGTTCTTATGCCTTCGTGGGCCCCTCCTACCAAATTTTTTTTTGATATAACTTTAAATACTTCAAAAACAATCTGTTTTAGGCAAAATTTAATAGATTTTCGTGGGCCCTAAACATTTCATTTTTTTCTGATGCGAGAAAAAAAGAAAGCATTTTTTTTGACCCTAAAAGGTCATTTTTTTCTTCTAATTTTAAGAGAAATTAAAACATTTTCTTGGGCCCCTGAAAGTATCATGGGGCCTGGGCACTGTGTCTACTGTGCCTAATGGATAAGTCAGCCCTGGGATGAAGGAAAGTGACCAGACTTCTGGGAAAGTCTTGGAATGGTTGTTTCTTGGGAAAATAAATGCTTAGCTCCTTAAGGAAATGATTGAAAATGGCAACTTTTGATCTATTGTGACATGTCCCACTGACTTCTGCAGCACCTTATAGGTATGGCTGATCATACAAACACTAAAATCCACATATTTTGATTATCCAGTATTGCTCCCTTATTCCATCTGGCTAACTTTTTGTGTGAAATGCTACTTCCTTTCCCCCTTTTTTGAGTCTAGTGATAAACTTCAGGAAACGGGATTTTAAAAATTTCTCCTGCCTTTTCCCTCTCCATACCATGCATAATTTTATAAATCTTTGACATAGGGATGCCAGTTCCCAGGAGGGACCTTGGATCACCCAGAATTACAGCTCATCTCCAGACTACAGAGATCAATTCTCCTGTAGAAAATGGATGTTTTGGAGGATGGATTCTATCTCTGTGGCCTTGTACCCCACTGAGGTCCCTGTCCTCCCCAGGCTCTGCCCCCCCAATCTCTTGGAGTTTCGCAACCTACATCTGGCAACCCTACCCCTCCATCCCCCAGCAGAGGCAGGGGGAATCTGGCAACCCTATTCACATTAACCCCTTTTGTGATTGCCCATGTTGACTAATATATGGCTAATTAAACATTGCTTTTAAAATATGTTTTTTCAACACCTGCAGATTGCTAGGGAAGTGTAAAAGTAGAACTTCTTGTGCCTTTTTTTTTTCTAAAATGCACAGGCCTAATACTAGCAAACATTCCCCAGACAGCAAGACAGGCATATGGACACAGTGCCCATGTGTGTACCCATATTCAGTTCAGATTGGGACTATGGGTAAATGAGAAGAGGTAGTTTAAGCCTTCTCCCTCCATGCCATTTTCCTAATCTGAATTGGCCCTGGGGAGCTGCTATTGGGCCTCTTGGCGAAACATATGTACTCATGTATTGTCGAAGGCTTTCATGGCCGGAGTTCATTAGTTGCTGTAGATTTTCCGGGATGTGTGGCCGTGGTCTTGGCATTGTAGAACCTGACATTTTGCCAGTAACTGTGACTGGCATCCTCAGAGGTATAAACACAGAAAGATGGAATACTCTCAGTGTCAAGGTGAGACAGAAAGTATTCCTTGACACAGAAAGTATTCCATCTTTCTGTGTTTATACCTCTGAGGATGCCAGTCGCAGTTACTGGCGAAACATCAGGTTCTACAATGCCAAGACCACGGCCACACATCCTGGAAAATCTACAGCAACTAATATGTACCCATGGCCTGCATGTGTACTGCAGGTAAGCTTCTCCAATGGGGGCAAATAGTGGTTCTCTGGGTCCATTTTAAGTGAAGAAAATGGACCAGTGGGGAAGGTTTAAGCTCCATCTTCCTACATACCATGGTCCCAGTTCAAAGCTTGCCCTGCACTCTTGGAAATAAAGTTCAGCACATGGACTCCCTGATTGTGACTGTTGACCACACCTGCAGAAGGACCTATGGAAACTTTAGTTTGTGGTTAGACATTTAGTCTGCAGTACAAGTTGGCTGCTTGTTACTTAGGCCACAGCTTCTGCTCAGTCACATGTTTGTATCATAGAAGGAGGAGGAGGAGGAGGAGGAGATTGGATTTAAACCCCGCC